GGCTACAAATCGATATTCTTATAGGGGGGAAGGGTAGGGAGCTGTTATGGTTCCTATTAACCTTGGTGAAAGTTGGAAACGGTAATATCATATAATGGCATACATTCGGTTGAAGGTGTGTGCACGGAAAATAGATTGCGGATACGATTTTAATGGATAAATCTGCACAAAAAAACACAAAAGGAGATTTTTGTATTTCCCTGAAGAATATCTCAAGATTATTTCAGATGTACTCATCGAAACTTTATGGAAGGATTATCGAAACCTTATTTTCAATTGCGATAGGGCCACATACCTCGACATCGCATTAACGTGAAAAATAAGACAATAGAAAAAAATTCCCTCACTGATGCTATCTCTTAGGAAAAATTTAACTATAAAGATTGCACAAATATTTTCTTCACCTTTTTGAGCTTGTTTTCGCATCTCCGTATATGCCGTTCATAATTTGCTGCAGATCAAATTGGAATATACCTTTGTGATGCCATTTATTGTTATATAATGTCCTTTACAACAGTTATTGCACGTATTGCACAAACAGATTGATTTGTGATCCATGCGAATGTGATCAACCACTCTGGCGAACACTCGCCGAGCGTGGCAACCGTGCGACTTTGTCTGGAGGCTCGTCGCTACAAGCCAATCAGGAAGAGGCCGACAGAGCGCCATGGCTACCGATCACGCGTTGATCACAAATCAACCACTGTTTACGATTACTTTGTAGCTTCGTTAGATACACTTTATGTACTAAATTCCTATTCAAAATAAGTACGAGATATTTCCTTATCTTTCTTCAAGAAATAACTTTTTTGCCACAAAAAAAACGCTCCAATAGCTATTTTCAACAACAAAATGATAAACAAACCATGGGCGTAGTGAAGAAAAGCATTTACTTATTAAGTAAATTCTTTTAGTCAAATTCCTTCTGAAAGTAGTAACTAATCTGATGTACCTCTGATGTACCTATTAAAGTCTACTTTAAGCTTTAAATCAATAAATCTTCAAAACTACTGAACTGAAATACATTAATTTTATATCATTATAAATGGAATTGAAAGACCTTTAAAATAAGGTATTACTCGACCCCCCTTTCCATTTAAGATTTTAGGGTTGGTGTCACCCCCGCCCAGGGGGCTGCACGTGTTAACGTGATTTTTTGGCAAACTTGTGTCCCCCTCGAAAACAAAATCGACGGGTCTGAGCGTTTTTCAAAAAAAAACCGAGCTGCCAGTAAATGCGTCTGTTTCATTTTCGATGCGCCACCCTGTATACACAAGAGTACGAAGAAATCTTGAAGAGAATTTTCTTCCCAACAAAAGGTGATAGACGCATATGCTTTGTTTTAAAATCTGTAACAATTATTTACAAATACGAAATGTTTGGATTTGTTTAGAAGAAAAAAACGTAACCCTTCGTTTTTCGCATAAAAATCAAAATTATTTTTGGGAATGGCTTGTGATTCATGTGGGCAAGATAAACTTGTGTATTTTGCTATAAAATGTCCTTTCAACGAACCCTGTTTTGTTCAATAAGCTAGTAGTGCTGGCCAGAAGACAGGTGTTTTGGGATAAACAATTAGAAATTCTCAAAAACCACTTGACCAATCGACTCCAAATTTATTATGGTTATTTAAAAGTAATTAACAATAAGTGCCAAGACCTGAATTTATAACTTTTTTTACTATTAGTGGTCTCATTCTGTAGGTCTCATAAAGGCCTAATAACCTTATTTGAAGAGTTTTTTCGTTCCAGCCAACACTTTGGATAAATCTCAAAAAACACGTTTTCTCATTCTTTGTTTCTAATATTCAATAACGAATGTTTTATTAACTTATTGTACTGTAATTCGACAAATGCTTCATAAATATCCAAAACAATTACATTCGTTTTAATACAAAATATTGACAGTTTCAAACGCGTCAACGTCAATTTTGAAACTTCAATTTTTATGGTTTGCACATTATACAGATAAAGCGTTAGTATTCCGTGACGTTTAATACTATTAGGGAGATGATCGATGGAACTCGATTTTAGAGAGGCTTTTGTTCACGTATGACCTTCCTTTGATTCTCATGATCATTGCCAGACCAAAATATAATTAGAACATATGCTCCAAATTTAGCACATGTCCCGTCGATACACATTGGTGTAATGAACTTAACTGGCACTTTTAGCGCGAAATGTCAGTGCAAATGTACGAGCCCCTTCCCACTTCAGTTGGCCCAACTATTGAAATCTTAGTTTTTTCCAACTTTATCACTCCCTAATCAAATTTGCAGCATAAAAATAACACATGTTGCAATTACAGCATATCAACCTATTTTCATTTCAATGCAATATAAGTCTATAACGAATAGGTGGCTGTGAAAAATAAAAACAATGACAATTGTTTTTATTAACCACAGCTGTCTGAATACGTTTAAAATAGTTTTGGGTAGTTAAGGTTTTCAAAATGGGTAGAGGAAAGGTTATTAGTGAGAAAATTCGGTTACTGATAATTAAATTTTTTAATTCTAGGAAATTAAACTCAGAAATTGCAACTTTGTTAGACTTATCGCGGTACAGTGTGAGAAATATTGTTAGAAGATGTAACGTAACTGGTTCAGTTAATATTAAGCCACGATATGTGAAAAAAAGTAATATTAGCATTAAGAAGAATAATCGTGAAAAACAGGCGTGCCAATTATTTACAATTAAGTGCTCTGTGGAGTGACGCTGTTGGAAGGAGAATTTCGAGGTTCACAACTCATAGAGAGGCCCACAAACTGGAATTTAGCACTTGCAAGGTAAGTTTTCTTATACAAAAAGGTGAAGTAAAAACCTGAAGTTGCACAACTTGTTTATATGCCAAAGAAAAGCCACTATTAGCTCCACTGCAAAAGAAATATCGGCTTAGATGGGCTAAAGAACATAGACAATAGGCACATCAACAATGGTGTGCAATACAATGAAGTGATGAGGCCTGGTTCGAAGTTTGTGTTGGTGACAGTCGCAGTAGAGTTATTCGCAAAAAAATGAAGCATTCCATGTTGACTGTCTGAAGAGAAAAGTGAAATTTCCAGCATCCATTATGGTCTGGGGCAGTATGTCATCAAAAGGAGTAGGAAAACGAAATGTGGATACAAACAAATATTTGGCAATTTTAGAAGAATCGCTTTTACCAGTGATGGAAGAATGTTTGACATTCGGCCAAGATTTTGTGTTTCAGCAAGATGGTGCAGCGTGCCATACCTCAAAAAAGGCTATAAAATGGATGGAAGAAAATAATGTACCACTTTTGAAATGGGTTTCTAGCAGTCCAGATCTGTCACCTATTGAAACTTTGTGGCACGAGATAAAAAAGGTTCTACGACAACATCCTTCTCGTACAATCACCGAACTTAGACAAAAGCTTCAAGAAATATGGGATTGTTTTACACCAAATTTTTGCCAAATCTTGGCTAACACTATGCTCCAAAGAATTTCAGCCGTAATAAAAAATAAAGGTGATGTTACCCAATGGTAATCTTTCAATTGCTGCTTTGTTAACTTCGCGCATTTATTCGCACATTGTTTATTTGTTCAGATGTTCTATTAGTTATAGGTCTAAGTCAAATATGTATTTTTATGACTAGAGTGTATCTAAAATGTTTTTGAGAAAATAACTTGTTTTAGAAGTAAATAATAATAATAATAATAATAATAATAATAATAATAATAATAATAATAATAATAAATGTCTTTATTGAAACCTTCGAATTGAGGCGAAGTTTAGCCACATGGCTACTCTACCACTTAACCTCAAAAACGAAGTGAAAAAATAATAATAATAATAAGGACAATAGTACAGTACAGAAAAAGAAAAAGAAAACAATGAACAATTACAGAATGTATAAAGCATGGAAAATTTACAAAAGCTACAAAATCAGTCGGCTAATCATCAGGGATTTTTAAAAAGGCAATTCCAAAAGAGAAGATTTGTATTTAATTTTAAAAACAGGTAAGCTTTTGGACTTGAGTACCTGGTTGATAGAGTTGTAAGTCCTGATAGCATTGTACGTAAAACATCTTCGGAATATACATGTTCTGTGGAATGGCATACCGAAGAGATGGTTATGTCGTAGGGCTCTAGAAATGACTTGACCACGAGGTACAAGTTTGTCCATAAGATAAATGGGTGACCTTGTGGAAATCAATTTATGGACAAATACACCCAAAGAGAAAGTATAGTGTTTATCAAGTTTTAGCCATTTTAGCTCTTTTATCTTAGACGATACGTGATCATACCTTCTGAGGCCATATACGAACCGACAACAACTGTTTTGGATTTTCTGCAGTCTATATTTAGTGTTATAATCAATACAAGGATAATAAAGAACCAGCGAATAAAATATTTTAGACATAACAAGACTCTCAACAAGTTTTTTCCGCGTTTTGAAATTAAGAATGTGCCGGTTTGAATATAATAATTTTAACGATATATATGTGGATTTAAGGGTGGCATTCACGTGCTGATTAAAACGGAGGTCTTTATCCAAAATAACGCCCAGGTGTTTTGCTTCGTTAACTAAGGGTATGACAGTATGATTCACAGACAGTTGGATTAGATCAACAACATTAACTGGAAAATTATGTGGACTAAAGACAATAGCATTCGATTTACTAGGGTTTATTTTCAGTGAGTGCCGTTTGCAGAAATTATCAATATTAGCTAAGTCAACATTAAGTTTATAAGAAATTTCCTTGAAGTTGCTAGAGTCAAAATAAATGTTAACTGTGTATCGTCTGCATAAGTTTGGATTGCGCAATGCTCAACACTGTTATGCAAGTCAAACGTGAAAACCAAGTAGAGGTCCCAAATAGTTTCGTCATGTTTAGTTTATAAAGGCATATTTTGGTACAGATCTTGAAGTGGGCCAACTGAAGTGGGAAGGGGCTTGTACGTTTTACCTGAGTCAAAATTAATTTTTAATAACAACGATAAGCAATAACGCAATATTAAGAAATTTCGACTTGAGTAGTTCCGGTTCTTTTCTTCGTTCTCCTTTCTTCTTTTTTTTACTTTTTTTTCCTTGACATTGTCTGCCGAAACCTGTTTCTGTTTTCACCTTATTTGGCCGCTGGGTAAAACTTAAATTAGCGTTTCTGCTACCTTGTCAAGGACTTACCGGCTATTGTTCCAGCATCTTTAGTGGCTTGTCTTTGCGAATCATTGAAATAAGCAGGGACGGTGATGACGGCATCTCTGACGTCATTCCCTAAAAAGGCGCTTGCAGTTTCCTTCATTTTGGTCAGTACCATCGAACTTATTTCCTCCGGGGCGAATCTCTTCTTCTCGCTTTTGAATTCCACTTGAATTTTGGGTTTGCCGTTATCGTTTACCACCTAGTTGAACAAACATCGGAAAAAATCAGTCTTCTTTCTACAGATGATTCAAAAAAAATAATGTGCGAGGTACCTCAGATCAGATAACTTACCTTGAAAGGCCAATGTTTTAGATCTTGTTGAATTTTTGGGTCGTCGAATTTGCGTCCAATAAGTCTTTTTGCATCAAACACGGTGTTGCTGGGGTTCATAGCTACCTAAGAGTAAGTAATATGAAATATTATCATCATTTGTTTTATAGCTGTATATCTATTATGTGCCGCTTTGTTTAGAGATGGACATCAACGCTTTCTTCAAGATTTGAAAACCATTAACTACTAAGGCAAAAGTGCTGGGTCAACATTATTGTTGAGGTTATAAGCGATTCATGAGAGTTCATAATTATTTAGGAAACTTAGGAAATTTCATCTAGGAGCGGATAAATATACTAAGTGACATATAAATCCGAACACCCAGTTTAAATGGTTTTATTTTAATAAAATTTGGTGAATGTATTTATCTTACTGTAAATAACAAGTGAAAAAATTTTCAGCCTTATCAGTTGGAAATTCTGGTTTTTATACGGCTTTTTTTTAATTCACTAACGCTCTAAAAATGAATATTTCAGCCGCAGTAAAGAATCAACGTTGGCGGATTTTGGTTCTTGACGTCCTTTACGATCGGTTACGATGCCTAGGGTACGGAAACCTGTACGATTTCGTCAACTTAGTGAGTTTGATAGGGGCCGTATAGTGGGACTTCGGGAAGCTGGACTTTCTTTTCGGGCAATTGCAGTTAGAGTGCAAATAAGTGTAGACACTGTGGTTAGGTGTTGTCAGGCATGGCTTCGAGAAGGCGTACGCAAAGAGCAAGGGGCACGCCTAAGATTATTGGCCTTAAGGGACCGTTTCTCCACTACCAGGTCCATTGCAAATGAATGGTTTGCAGAACACGGAAGACCTATTGACATGCGAAGTGTTTACCGACGAATGAGAAGTTTTGGCTTGTTTTCATACCGGCCACACTGGGTCCTCCCTTTAACTCGAGAACACCGACGTAATCGCCTTGAGTGGTGCAGACAACGGTCACTCATGGATCAGGAATGGAACAGTATTGTCTTTAGTGACGAGTCTCGATTTTGTTTAGGCATGCACGATGGTCGTGCCAGGGTTAGAAGGCGACGTGGTGAAAGGAGGAATCCACAGTTTTTTGTTGAAAGACATGTTCATCACACTGTTGGAGTTATAGTTTGGGGTGCTATAGCTTATGGTTCCACGTCACCTTTAATCTTCATCAGAGGTAACATGAACGCGCAGCGTTATATCCACGAAGTTCTAGAACCCCATCTTTTACCCTATCTTGACACCCTGGCAGATCCAACTTTCCAACAAGATAATGCCCGACTACATGTTGCAAGAGTCACAATAGACTTCTTTCAGCAAAATGATGTCACATTGTTACCATGGCCACCAATATCTCCCGACTTATCCCCAATTGAGCACGTGTGGGATATGATGGGTAGGAGATTGCTCAATTTGCAACGTCCTCCTCAGACTCTAGAAGCACTTCGAGAGGAGTTGGTGGTTGCCTGGAATGAGATACCACAGGAGGACATTGACCACCTGATCAGAAGCATGCCTAGGCGCGTTGGAGAATGCGTAGCACATCAGGGTGCATCCACACATTATTAAAGGTCAAAGGGCTTTAAAGCAGTGCAATCATTTTGAAATTTTTATCATTTACTTATTATGCTTCATTAAGTACTTATACAATTTTTTTTTAAAATAAAACCATTTAAACTGGGTGTTATATGTCACTCAGTATAGAAGAAAAAAAAGAAAAATCAGAGTTTGTTTTTATTAGCTGTTAATAAGAAGTAAGCCATTCTATAATTATTAACAGTAAACGATATTTAAGCACCTTTGTCTCAAGTTTTCGAATAAAAGCGTGTTACATTTTAACAGCAAGACTAAAACTGGCGTCAAGCAGAGTGATTCTGTACTTCTCACACAATTTTGGACAAATTTAATGAACTTTAAATAGTGCAGCATGTATAGTAAGTCAACTTTTGCATACTGGAATCTTTATTATTCGACGACTATGAGCATCCTTGCTCCTTGAACATAAGACCGTGGAGAAGAATGAGTATTAGTGCTAAAATGGTGTCAAGTAGATTGACTCCATATTTTCCATACCTGCGGAACAGGTTTTAGTACAATTTGTCCCCATTTGGGCTTTTCATGACAAAAAAATTCATCAGAATGCAGCAATGAGCGTGGCCGTACACAGTAACCTCATTTCTTGTGCAAAACTATTTGTCAACAATGTTTCATAACTGATTATAATGGTTCTTAATACGTACTTATAGTCGTATACTATATGTACTATATAATGTTGCCTCACGAAATGAAGACAGCTCTTTAAATTACACTCCAAGAGCAATGCTCGTATATATATAGACAATATCGCGCGCACCTCGTATGTGCAAATCGCATCATCTGCTACCTGCTTCTATAAGTCTCTCAGATAAAGGGGCCAAGTATTAGCGGACAGACCAATAGACAGACCGACAACACGACGGAAATGAGCGGCAGGTTTTTCATGATATTTATGTCATATTGAATCCAAAAAACTTATTACCTCATTATGGAAATTTTTCGCAACTAGAATCCTTACTTGTCAGTGTAAGGTGTCGGGGAAGTAACTGTTTCATTTGAAAACTTAGACGAAGTAGATTCATTATCGTTAGTTAAGAAGTATGAAATCGTTTACTTCCAGTGGAAAAAACATATTTGACCTTTTAGTTGTTTTTCTTATTAAAAGCTAATGAAACTATCTTTTTCATCAGTTTATCCCGTTGTAGATAAAAGTTTATAATAAGTGTTTACGTCCTTGGCGTGTTAAAATCTGCGGTGATCCACACCGGGGCAATAATCGGCCAGTTTACGTTCTCGGTACATAAATGTCTATTTCATCTACAAGTAGCTGTTGGTGGGTAGACATAAGGATAGGTCAATCTATTTGACTGTTATACGTAGCTATAAGACTACAAAAAACGACATAAGAAATTATATTTTAGAGAAGCACAACTTTTAGTACTAGGAGAGAGATTAATAAAACTTATGAAGCATACCTTTTGGAGCCTTAGGATACGATTGAGGTATGAATGATCCTGAAATTCTCAGTTTTTCTAATTTATTTCACCATCTGAATTATATTTCTTGACTAAAAAATCCTACTACAATACATCAAGAATGCTACTTTAGGGCCAATTGTTTTGTTCTGCGATTAGCATTGCCGTAGGAAGTGTATAAGGCTGAACTATACTTTAGCGTATATCGCAAATATTACATTTGTTATTTTAAAATGGAAGATTGGGATGTAACTTGCACGAAAATATCATTTTTTCTTTAAGGAACCCTCTGCTTGCTATTTTATATAACTTCAAAGTTGCATTTTGTGTGGTAATACTGTGGTATAGAATAGTGCTTTATAAGCTGTTTTTTTCTTGTTTACACAAAAGGTTGCTCAAAATTATATGAATATAACATACAATGTAAATTACTGTGACACTATTCATCGCAATAATGCAATTTTGCATTATTTTAATGATGAAAATAGTTCATTGTTGTGTAGTAATTTCTTTTATTTCAGATAAATATTCCCATCACTACATCACCATTCACCACCATCACTATCCTACTCTCTCCATCGAGTTGCGATGTTGCCAAATCATGGATACACTAATTTGGCTTGTCAAATTCTTACTTACATACTAGCGCAAAAATGAACCTTTTTGGGAGAATGCCTTATGCCCTTTACAAAAGTACTTCGGTTATTGTTTCTCCTATATTATAGTTATAATCTATTTACTTTTTGTATGTATATACTTGAAGAATTATTTAAAGTGAAGCTGATGTCACAAAATATACCTAATTAAATGTGATATATATGAGAAATAACTGAAAAAGTAGCTGTTGGCAATCACTAAACAATGAAAACATAACAAAATAATATCGCTCAAATGTTCACCACGACTGGATTTACAGACGTCCACGCGATGGTCGAAATTTTCAATGACATTTTGCAACATGGTCGGTTCTATGGCATTTATCTCGGCAATGATGTTGTTTTTGAGTTCTTGGAGGGTGGCTGGTTTGTTGACGTAGACTTTGCTTTTCAAATATCCCCATAAAAAGAAGTCCAAGGGAGTGAAATCGCACGATCTTGGTGGCCATGACACATTTCCTCTGCGCGAAATCACGCGATCACCGAAGAAGGATTGCAATCGATGGATATTGACGTTGGTTGTGTGGCATGTTGCACCGTCTTGTTGGAAATAAACATCGTCCATATCCATTCCTTCAAGTTGCGGCAAAAAATAGTCCTCTATCATCACGTGATATCGCTCAGAATTGACGGTAACGGCGTCCCCGGCCGCATTTTCGAAAAAGTAAGGTCCGATGATGCCTTTTGACCACAATGCACACCACACAGTCACTTTTTGAGGATGCATCGGCTGCTCTTGATACTCACGGGGATTTTCGTTCGCCCAGATGCGGCAGTTTTGCTTGTTTACCGTCCCATTCACAGTGAAACGCGCTTCGTCGCTGAACATGATTTTTGATGAAAAATTGGCTCTCGAAATGCCCAATTCTTGGGATCGACGCGTTGCTGATTGTTTCGGATCGTCTCTCACACTCTCCTTCACAACAGCAATATTTTCCGGTGTGCGAACGCTCCTTGGCCGGTCAGAGCCTGGTAGATTTGCCACATAACCTGTTGCCTCGAATTTACGCACCAGACGACCGACGGTTGTTTCGTTTGGGCGGTTGTTGCGACCGAAATGTTCACGAAGCGCGCGAAACGTGTTTTTTTATTTTTGCACCATTTTTGTAGTGCTCTAGATTAACTTTAATGCGGTCTTCAATCGAATACGACTCCATAGCGATCAATGGTAAACATTCAACTAACAAAATGACATGTCGGTGACAGAAAACAAAGATGGCGTCTATGTCAAATTTGCGTTTACTTTCCTGCGTCCCTATTGGACAACCCTTTATAATGTTGGACGATGATATTCTGGGTGGACCTAGCGAGGTGACTATTCGAAGTTGGGATTTTTTATATGCCCGCTGGTGCCTTTTGTATTTTGTCACGCGAGCCGCTGCTGCATTTTACACTGTTTAGACACAGACTGTTCAAAATGTCTTCTAGTTTTCGGTAAATATTGGGTCAACTTCTCATAAAACAAGCCATTTACAATAACTTAACACTTTTATTTTGCAAATAACCTCATTTTTATCACTTATTTCTCCCAACAAAGGTACAACTTGGCAACTATGGACATCATTTATCTTATCTGTCAAGAAATGAACGTTACAAATGTCCGTTCAAAATTGTTTGTCTTTTCAAATATTTCTTATAAACGCAAAAACTTTGATCTCTTTGAAAATATGCAAAAAAATGGTTAAGGAATTTCAGGAACACTTTGAAAAATCACAACACAACACCTCTATACAGTGTACCAGGTAAATACCATCATTTACGTATGTATTTTGAACTGTTATTTTAGCTAATACGCTAATGTATAATTACACGGATGGTTTTGAACCTTTTTTTGCAAAAAACAACGATTTTTTACAGTTTCACATCTGTTTTCCTTAGTACTATACAGCGTCTGTTATATTCTTATAATAATACATATACTAAGTGACATATAAATCCGAACACCCAGTTTAAATGGTTTTATTTTAATAAAAGTTGGTGAATGTATTTATCTTACTGTAAATAACAAGTGAAAAAATTTTCAGCCTTATCAGTTGGACATTCCGGTTTTTATACTGCCTTTTTTAATTCACTAACGCTCTAAAAATGAATATTTCAGCCGCAGTAAAGAATCAACGTTGGCGGATTTTGGTTCTTGACATCCTTTACGATCGGTTACGATGCCTAGAGTACGGAGACCTGTACGATTTCGTCAAGTTAGTGAGTTTGATACTGGCCGTATAGTGGGACTTCGGGAAGCTGGACTTTCTTTTCGGGCAATTGCAGTTAGAGTGCAAAGAAGTGTAGACACTGTGGTTAGGTGTTGTCAGGCATGGCTTCGAGAAGGCCGTACGCAAAGAGCAAGGGGCACTGGACGCCGCCGTAGAACAACAGACCGTGAAGATCGCCGCCTAAGATTATTGGCCTTAAGGGACCGTTTCTCCACTACCAGGTCCATTGCAAATGAATGGTTTGCAGAATACGGAAGACCTATTGGCATGCGAAGTGTTTACCGATGAATGAGAAGTTTTGGCTTGTTTTCATACCGGCCACACTGGGTGCTCCCTTTAACTCGAGAACACCGACGTAATCGCCTTGAGTGGTGCAGACAACGGTCACTCTGGGATCAGGAATGGAACAGTATTGTCTTTAGTGACGAGTCTCTATTTTGTTTAGGCATGCACGATGGTCGTGCCAGGGTTAGAAGGCGACGTGCTGAAAGGAGGAATCCACAGTTTTTTGTTGAACGACATGTTCATCACACTGTTGGAGTTATGGTTTGGGGTGCTATAGCTTATGGTTCCAGATCACCTTTAATCTTCATCAGAGGTAACATAAACGCGCAGCGTTATATCCACGAAGTTCTAGTACCCCATCTTTTACCCTGTCTTGACACCCTGGCAGATCCAACTTTCCAACAAGATAATGCCCGACCACATGTTGCAAGAGTCACAATAGACTTCTTTCAACATAATGATGTCACATTGTGACCATGGCCACCAAGATCTCCCAATTGAGCACGCGTGGGATATGATGGGTAGGAGATTGCTCAATTTGCAACGTCCTCCTCAGACTCTAGAAGCAGTTCGAGAGGAGTTGGTGGTTGCCTCGAATGAGATACCACAGGAGGACATTAACCACCTGATCAGAAGCATGCCTAGGCGCGTTGGATAATGCGTAGCACATCAGGGTGCATCCACACATTATTAAAGGTCAAAGGGCTTTAAAGCAGTGCAATCATTTTGAAATTTTTATCATTTACTTATTATGCTTCATTAAGTACTTATACAAAATTTTATTAAAATAAAACCAATTAAACTGGGTGTTCGGATTTATATGTCACTTAGTATAATTGCAAAAAGCAAAAAAAATCGTATAAAACAGTATTCCATTCTAGAGTATTACCACCAAAAATGCAACTTTGAAGTTCTATGAAATAGCAAGCAGAGGGTTCCGTAAAGAAAAAATCATGAAGTATTTGCGATATGCGCTAAAGTATAGTCTTACCAAGAAAATATGTAATTATGCTAACACATAAGCATAATATGTTGGGCTGTGAATGAAGCGATTTAAACCAATTTTCAGTATAAATATACATTTTTAATTGAAATCATCTATCTATTAGTGTGTACGTTGTTTTACATTTTACATTTTTGAACTGTTTTTTAATAGTCCCTACTAAGTAGCTAGTTGATTTCATCGAATCATAAACATAACTATTAAAAACTTAAAATCTGTGAATTTCGTAGCCATCCGTACCTCAATCGCTTATTCATAGACCACAATGTATGTATCAGCAGTTTTTGAAATTGTTATCTTAAGTGATAAAAATTCGATCAAACCCGGGGGCGCTCCCAGAACATGTAACTTACCTGATTTTTGGCAGCATCCCCTATCAATCTCTCCGAATCAGTAAAAGCCACATAACTAGGGGTGGTTCGATTCCCCTGATCGTTCGCAATGATCTCGACCTTACCACCCTGCCATACGCCCACGCACGAATACGTGGTGCCCAGGTCAATGCCCACCGCTGCAGTTTTCACCATTTTTCACGCGCGACAAGATGAGTTTCCCTTAAAATTCGATTTCAAAAGCGTTCTGTTAGAACCGCGCACTTCACTTGGGGATTTTGAGCTGTCAGAAGTGCCAAAGTGACTGCGCGCCTGCCGCAAAACGGCGAGCGGGCTTTGCGGGAAAGGCGGGCATGATCGGCCGGCGTCGCGGAAAACAGGTGGGAATCGCGCCGTTCGAAAATGTAGGGGAGAGTGGGGTAAAAAATTCACAGGATCATTTTACTTAGTCCAGGCTCGATAAAGCAGGGTGAACAAAAATTCAGTTATCTGAAAGCTTTGAGTGGGGGGGGGTATAACCCAAAATTCAGTACTTTGCTTGTATAATGTTCGAATGAAATTTCATAAATAAACGGTAAACTAGAGATTTTAGAGCGCAAAAAGACCTTCAATTTTGATTTTTAAGAATTAAAATTGATAAACAATTAAGCTAAATACGGGACTTTTTAGTAATACTGAATAAATGTTTATAACTATTGCAATAACAATTGTAAAAGGCTCATTAGTGTTAATAAATGTGCTAAATTTCAGCCGGGTGGGTTTAATACTCTATGTAAAAAGCTAATTGTTGATGTGATCCTAGAACATTTTATATAAGTGAAATGGATTCTTGAATGTACGCAAAAGATTAATTTTTTATTTCAAAATTGTTGTTAAAAATGATGTTAAAGGAATAGTCATTTTTATATACTAAGTGACATATAAATCCGAACACCCAGTTTAAATGGTTTTATTTTAATAAAATTTTGTATAAGTACTTAATGAAGCATAATAAGTAAATGATAAAAATTTCAAAATGATTGCACTGCTTTAAAGCCCTTTGACCTTTAATAATGTGTGGATGCACCCTGATGTGCTACGCATTCTCCAACGCGCCTAGGCATGCTTCTGATCAGGTGGTCAATGTCCTCCTGTGGTATCTCATTCCAGGCAACCACCAACTCCTCACGAAGTGCTTCTAGATCTAGAGTCTGAGGAGGACGTTGCAAATTGAGCAATCTCCTACCCATCATATCCCACACGTGCTCAATTGGGGATAAGTCGGGAGATCTTGGTGGCCATGGTAACAATGTGACATCATTATGTTGAAAGAAGTCTATTGTGACTCTTGCAACATGTGGTCGGGCATTATCTTGTTGGAAAGTTGGATCTGCCAGGGTGTCAAGATAGGGTAAAAGATGGGGTTCTAGAACTTCGTGGATACAACGATGCGCGTTCATGTTACCTCTGATGAAGATTAAAGGTGACCTGGAACCATAAGCTATAGCACCCCAAACCATAACTCCAACAGTGTGATGAACATGTCTTTCAACAAAAAACTGTGGATTCCTCCTTTCACCACGTCGCCTTCTAACCCTGGCACGACCATCGTGCATGCCTAAACAAAATCGAGACTCGTCACTAAAGACAATACTGTTCCATTCCTGATCCCAGAGTGACCGTTGTCTGCACCACTCAAGGCGATTACGTCGGTTTTCTCGAGTTAAAGGGAGGACCCAGTGTGGCCGGTATGAAAACAAGCCAAAACTTCTCATTCGTCGGTAAACACTTCGCATGCCAATAGGTCTTCCGTGTTCTGCAAACCATTCATTTGCAATGGACCTGGTAGTGGAGAAACGGTCCTTTAAGGCCAATAATCTTAGACGGCGATCTTCACGGTCTGTTGTTCTACGGCGGCGTCCAGTGCCCCTTGCTCTTTGCGTACGGCCTTCTCGAAGCCATGCCTGACAACACCTAACCACAGTGTCTACACTTCTTTACACTCTAACTGCAATTGCCCTAAAAGAAAGTCCAGCTTCCCGAAGTCCCACTATACGGCCCCTATCAAACTCACTAAGTTGACGAAATTGCACAGGTCTCCGTACTCTAGGCATCGTAACCGGTCGTAAAGGATGTCAAGAACCAAAATCCGCCAACGTTGCTTCTTTACTGCGGCTGAAATATTCATTTTTTGAGCGTTAGTGAATTAAAAAAAAGCAATATAAAAACCGGAATGTCCAACTGATAAGGCTGAAAATTTTTTCACTTGTTATTTACAGTAAGATAAATACATTCACCAACTTTTATTAAAATAAAACCATTTAAACTGGGTGTTCGGATTTATATGTCACTTAGTATAGTTAACATTTAAAATAACTTCTTTATTTTTCTATATAATGTATTTTAACAAGTTGGGTGGTTGAAAAACACATATTTAAAAACCTTCTACGGGTTTAATACCAGACGATACTATCAAACAAATTTCTGCAACTGCACTACTGGTTGCCGAACGGGTAGGCGTAGTTACAAAAAACATGGGTTAAATTGCACACCGTTGTGCATAAATTGTGATGATGGCACAACACCCTTTGCAGTAATTGGAATTGACGATGTGAATACTGAGTAAATCGATGACTTATTTGAAGAAATGAGCTACACAATACTGAAGAAGAAGTAGAGCATCCAACTGAATGATTTCGAACGGAGGATCAAATTTAATTAAATAATAAAATATTATGATAAAAAATACATTATATAATATTATTATTACACAAAGAATACAAATTAACTAAATATAAATGAGAGACAAACGTAAATCAATGTTTTTTACAATTTATTAGAGTGTATTTTGTTAAGAGTATACCAATTAACTGAATTATGAATTGTTCAAATAATTTTATTGTAAAATATACATTATTGTGACGATAATAAATAGTAGTGTTGGAGCCATCTGTTGGGAGACTCTCCAACTCGCCAGAGCTTCATGGTCGATCTTTGCTTTTAAGCGGACCACAACCGCACAAACCGCTTGGCGACATCTGTTGAGGACCATGTCAGTGACTCGCCTTCTAGATCGACGCGAACTGACCTCGAATATTCTAGATGCCGCTTTGTATCTCGCCAGACCTTTCTCCAAGCAGCGATGGGGACTATACAGGGTTATCCAAATTAAGTGTCCACCATTAGTAACTTTGTTATTAGTGAAAATACAAAGTTGTTTGAATTAGCAAACTAGTAGCATTTTTAACCCTGGTAAAAATGAGAAATAAAAAAAAACAATTGAGAGTCGTTATTTTGATTTTTTTCAGTAAAATAACATTTTTTTAAATGGAAACCCCTGTATATTATATTTTTTTCTGTTAAAGCATCAAATTTTAAACAAAAAAGTTCATAATGACTTTTCCGCTAAAGTCAAAAATAAAGTCAAAATAACGATAAATATTTTTAATTATTTGCAGTATTATAATATTAAGACGGCTAAGAAAACAACATGGCGTTCGCGATTTGACAGCATTAAGATAAGCGACAAATTGTTAAACTGGACATACTCGCAACTAGAAGGCTTTGGAAAACAATGATAAAATCAAATAATGTCAAACATTAGTGTAAATACTTGTTTATAAGCTTTATTGTGTCATTAATTTAAAGAAAAATGTTCTCCCATGAAGAAAAGTGTGATATGTTAGAATGCTATTTAGTGTGCAGAAAATCCTCCTTGAGAGCAAGAGAATACTACAGTGAATTATATCCCGCTCGCATTCAACCGTATGAACGATATTTTCTGAGACTTTATCGAAAATTTAGGGGCAACGAAAATGTTTTTGCTAAAACAAGGGCAAAAAAAGAATTCATAATAAGCGAGGCCACGGAAATTGCAGTTATTGGATATTTTGAAGCTTATCGTGAGAATTCAATAGCAGATATTCTCAAGGACTCTAATTTCAGTTATGGTACTGTTCAAAGGATTTTAAAAAAATACAAATTTATTCCGTATAAGTACCGACCAGTTCAAACGCTTTTGGCAGGGGATCCAGAGAGAAGACTTGTTTTTTGCCATTGGTATCTTAGCTTCTGTCGCCAAAATGTAAATAACTTTCGTTACCTTTTATGGACAGATGAATCAAATTTTTCAAATTCTGGAATGTTTAATAGAAAAAACCACCATTATTGGTCAAGAGAAAATCTTTTGTTAGTACATCCAAGAGGCCCACAAGTCCGTTTCAGTTTCAACGTTTGGTGCGGTATAATTGGTTCAAAAATTGTTGGCCCGTTCTTTTATGAGGGAACCCTAACTGGTGAAAGATATGTGGAATTTATGTCAGAAATTCTGACTAATTTCTTAGACGAATTGGATCTTATAAGTAGACGTCATCTGCATTTTCAGCAAGATGGCGCACCTGCCCACAACTCCAGAGGTACTTATCATTTTCTAAGTACTACTTTTAATGATCAGTGGATAGGAACAAATGGCCCAATACAGTGGCCTCCCAGATCACCAGATCTAAACCCACTTGATTACTTCTTGTGGGGTTACTTAAAGAACCAAATTTACAAGCGAAGGTACGATAACCTTGACGCGTTAAAGACTGCAGTTAGGGAAAGATAACTCAGATAGATGGTAGGACCATACTTAAGACAGTTCGAGCAGTTGAAAAACGTGCCCAAAAATGTATTGAAGAACAAGGTGGTGTTTTCGAGCATCTTCTTTAAAAAAAATTGTTATTGTATTTTGTAAGATTATAAGTTGATGTTGAAAATAAAGTTTGTCGATACAATTTAATTGTTTCAGATTGGAGGCCATAACTTCAACAATTTGTAACCTAGGAGAAAAGTTATTGTGAGCTTTTTTGTTTAAAATTTGATGCTTTAACAGAAAAAAATATAATATACAGGGGTTTCCATTTAAAAAAATGTTATTTTACTGAAAAAAATCAAAATAACGACTCTCAATTGTTTTTTTTTATTTCTCATTTTTACCAGCGTTAAAAATGCTACTAGTTTGCTAATTCAAACAACTTTGTATTTTCACTAATAACAAAGTTACTAATGGTGGACACTTAATTTGGATAACCCTGTATATAACTCGTCGGCTGGGAGATGGAGGCAGAGTACAGAGTACAGTAGGATAGAGCAGTGCTGTCAATGGCGCGACATAAGAATTAGTTCGACATAAATAGTGGTGTAGATTTTAAAATCTCGAAGTATCATGAACTATAAAGGAATTGAAGACATCTTGTCGCTCCGAGCAACCACTATGATTAGCGAGTCGAGTTTGAGCCAAATTATGTCCTAAGTGATTTTAACTCCAACAAGCCGAAACAAGGCTTTTGTCACTGGCAGTATTCTTCGATCGGTCTGGGACTCTTAATGAATGCACGATAAGTGCTGTTGGCTGTATTTTGTTTTTATCTGGTCTCCTT